TAGTGTCCATTTCACTTCAGGAGGTTTCCTTTTTGGTGTTCAGTCAGTTGTCACTGATCAGGGAGAACATATGGTATTTGTCCCTTTGGGACTGGCTTACTTCACTCAGCATGATGTGTTCCAGATTCCTCCATTTTGTTGCAAATGACTGGATTTCGTTGTTTCTTACTGCGGTATAGTATTCTAAAGAATACATATCCCATAATTTCTTTATCCAGTCTACCGTTGATGGGCATTTAGGTTGGTTCCAGGTCTTGGCTATTGTGAATTGTGCTGCAATAAACATTAGGGTGCAGACCGCTTTTTTGTTTGTTAATTTAAACTCCTTTGGGTAAATTCCAAGGAGTGGGATGGCTGGGTCGAACGCTAGGGTTATCTTCAGGTTTCTGAGGAATCTCCAGACTGACTTCCATAGTGGCTTAAATAGTTTGCATTCCCACCAACAGTGGGTTAGTGTCCCTTTTTCCCCACATCCTCGCCAGCATCTGTTGTTGGTAGATTTCTGTATGTGAGCCATTCTAACCGGGGTGAGGTGAAACCTCATTGTGCTTTTGATTTGCATTCCCCTGATTGCTAGTGATCTTGAACATTTTTTCATGTGCCTGTTGGCCATTTGGATTTCCTCTTTTGAAAAATGTCTATTGAGGTCCTTGGCCCATCTCTTAATTGGGTTGTTGGTTTTGTTTTTGTGGAGTTTCTTGATCTCTTTGTAGATTCTGGTTATTAACCCTTTATCTGTTGCATAGTTTGCAAATATTTTTTCCCATTCTGTCGGTTGTCTCTTCACTCTCCTGACTGTTTCTTTTGCAGTACAGAAACTTCTCAATTTGATGCAATCCCAATAGTTGATTTTGGCTTTGACTGCCTGTGCCTCCTGGGTCTTTTCCAGAAATTCTTTGCCTGTGCCAATATCTTGAAGGGTTTCTCCAATGTTCTCTAATAACTTAATGGTGTCAGGACGTAGATTTAGGTCTTTAATCCACGTTGAGTGGATTTTTGTGTAAGGTGTAAGGTAGGGGTCTTGCTTCATGCTTCTGCACGTGGAAATCCAGTTTTCCCAGCACCATTTATTGAATAGACTGTCCTTGCTCCAGGAATTAGTTTTAGATCCTTGATCCAATATAAGTTGGCTGTAGATGTTTGGATTGATTTCTGGTGTTTCAATTCTGTTCCATTGGTCTATCCATCTGTTTCTGTACCAGTACCATGCTGTTTTGATTACAACTGCCCTGTAGTATGTCCTGAAGTCTGGTATTGTGATGCCTCCGGCTTTGTTTTTGTTGTACAAGATTGCTTTAGCTATTCGAGGTCTCTTGTGCCTCCATATGAATTTCAGCATCATTTTTTCCAGATCTGAGAAGAAGGTCTTTGGTATCTTGATTGGGATTGCATTGAATCTATAAATTGCTTTTGGGAGAATGGACATTTTGATGATGTTGATTCTTCCAATCCATGAGCATGGAAGATTTTTCCATTTTTTGGTATCCTCTTCTATTTCTTTCTTTAAGGTTTTGTAATTTTCATCGTAGAGATCTTTAACGTCCTTGGTTAAGTTTATTCCAAGGTATTTGATTGTTTTTGTAGCTATTGTGAATGGGATTGATCTTAGAAGTTCTTTCTCAGTCATGGCATTGCTTGTGTATACAAAGGCTGTTGATTTTTGTGCATTGATTTTATATCCTGCCACTTTGCCAAACTCCTCTATGAGTTCCAATAATCTCTTAGTAGAGTTCTTTGGATCCTCTAAGTACAGAATCATATCGTCTGCAAAGAGGGATAGTTTGACTTCTTCCTTCTTGATTTGTATTCCTTTGATTTCTTTTTCTTGTCTGATGGCTCTGGCTAAAACTTCCAGAACTATGTTAAATAGCAGTGGTGAGAGTGGGCATCCCTGCCTGGTGCCAGATTTCAGTGGAAATGCTTCCAACTTTTCCCCATTCAATAGGATGCTGGCTGTGGGTTTTTTATAAATTGCTTTGATTATATTGAGGAATGTTCCTTCTATACCCAATTTGCTTAGAGTTTTCATCATGAAAGGGTGTTGAATTTTATCAAATGCTTTCTCTGCATCAATTGAGATAACCATATGGTTTTTCTTCTGCAGTCTGTTAATGTGGTGAATCACATTGATTGATTTGTGAATGTTGAACCATCCCTGCATACCAGGGATGAATCCCACTTGGTCTGGGTGGATGATTTTCCTGATGTGTTGTTGTATTCTATTGGCCAGAATTTTATTGAGGATTTTTGCATCTATGTTCATCAGGGATATTGGTCTGTAATTTTCTTTCAGTGCTGCATCTTTCTCTGGCTTAGGGATTAAGGTGATGCTGGCTTCATAGAAAGAATTTGGGAGGATTCCCTCTTTTTTGATTGTTCTGAATAGTTTGAGAAGAAATGGGATTAGTTCTTCTTTAAATGTCTGGTAGAATTCAGCAGTGAATCCATCTGGTCCTGGGCTTTTCTTTGTTGGGAGGGCCTTTATTACTGTTTCAATTTCTGTTTCAGTTATGGGTCTATTTAGGTTTTCGATGTCTTCATGGTTCAATTTTGGTAGATTGCATGTGTCCAGGAATCTATCCATTTCTGATAGGTTTTCCTGTTTGCTGGCATACAGGTCCTTGTAGTAATTTCTGATGATTCTTTTTATTTCTGTGGTGTCTGTTGTTACATTTCCTTTTTCATCTCTGATTTTATTGATTTGGGTCTTTTCTCTTCTTTTTTTAGTTAGTTGGGCCAGTGGGGTGTCAATTTAGCTCTGACAATGCAGCGAATTAGAAGAATTTTCGCAGGAAAGGCACCGGCTCCTTTTGTTTCCGAATCGCATCAGCAACTGCAGTCACTACTCACCGCCCTTCGTAGAGAGAGTTCCCAGACACTAAATTAAAAACCTGCTCACGTAGAGGGCCAGCGAAGCCCCCCGCCGACCAATGAATACACAGATCAATACGCTCTGATTTAATAGGGCCCGAGGCTGCGAACCGCCTCCTCCCCGAGTGGTTCTCCGTTGGTGTTTCAAGGAGACCGCCACGTTGATTTTCCGGACGCTGATCAACCATTGTGGGCACAGGAGCGTGGATCAGAAACAGGTGCATCAGCAGGAAGTAAGATTCACGCCGAGCCTGAGCCAACATTTCAGAAACGTCTGCCGCGCGGATCCGCGTGGTTTCGTGGGTAGCATTTGCTCTAGCTGTTGGGGTCGCATTTATCTATTCTAATACCAGCTCTGCTGCTCCTTGTCAGCCATAGGAAATAGGTGCTTTTGAAATCTGACTTAAGAATTACGCTTTTCATAACTTACAATCAAGGATATTTATTTTCTCGGCCAGTTCATCCTGAGGCTGGCGTTGGAATATAAAAATAATGTGAGTGCACGTTGGATCCAGCAGGGGAGCTGTAAGCAATTTGAAAACCAGGTCTGGGTTCCCATGCAGTCCACACCATAAAAATAAGGGTAACACCATTTTCACCGAAGTCGTCCAGGCTACTGCCAACAGACTCACGGCTATTGTAGAGTCCTCAAAGCCAGACGCTCCCTTGCCTGCGGCTTCTACTTCCTTACAAAGGAATGTGTGGCTTAGAGGGACCCAGCACTGGGTCCAGGCACACGGAGGGTGCCTCCTGGTCACTGCCCACCCCGTCTCTGGAATCTGAAGAGACATCTCCAGCCTCACAAGTCAGGATGTCGTTTTCCATGACCACCAAAATGTAGGTTATGTAGTTAAATAAGACTGGGTAGAGAAGGGGCAAGAGATGACAGACAGGAATGCTGAAGGCCAAAAGCTGGTTCTGGCTTGGAAGCAGGAAGCAGAACTGTGGAGCCCACGAAGGGGCCGGTGCCACTCTGCGGAGCCCGGCACACCCGCCGCCTGGTGCCACCCAGCATCTTCATTTGTTCTGAGGAGGCAAAGCAGGGTCCCCAGAGACCTTGCTTAACTAAGGAGCAGCTCACTCCAAAGGACGTCCCTGGCCTTTCTGTTACTCCCCAGGAGCCTTCACATTTCATTAGCCAGAAAGAACAGGACGCCCCCACACCTCCCCCATCATTTATGTCCCGCACAGAGCCAGCCGCAATCGCTTCTAGAAGAGGGGCTCCCAGCTCAGGGTTGCACAAGAGACCCAGCAGGGCATCTGCACGTTCATTTTAAAACCAGGGCCCATTTCCAGCCCGATGCACACCATAATTGGCTCCGTACCGCTGTGGGTCCGACGCGAGCATCCACGGTTTAACATGATCGTAAATTAAGTCGCTATGATCTGATTGATGGTGGCCCCTGAAATTCTCACACTGAAAATCCAATGGCCACTTTGAAGGTGTGAGCAATGGGGGCCTTTAGGAAACAACAGAGTAGTGTCCCTTCCAAAAGAGCACAGGGGCAGAGTCTCTGAACCCAAGGAGGAGCCCCCACCAGACACCGAGCTTGCTGGCACCCTGATCGCAAACTTTCCAGCATTTCGAGCTGTGAGCTATAAATGTCTGTCATTTGCAAACCACCCAATCTATAGTATTTTGTTCAAGCAGCCTGGAGTATGACAAGAACACTGCTGTCATGGAAACGCTTGTTATTCAACACTAATCCACAGGTCAGCAACATCCCCGTTACCTGGAGACTCATTCAGCATACAAACCTCAAGCCCCACCCCTAAATGTCGCTCTCAGAAGTGGACGTTAAATAAGCTCCCCATGAGAGTCACAGGCCTGTAAGGGGCGGGGAAGCTCCCAATCAGAGTCTCTAAGCTAGTGTATCAGGACCACCTGGGGTAGGAGGCTTACTCAAACACAGCCAGCTGGGCCTCCCCCAGATTCCCTGCTTCAGTAGATGGGGGCAGGCTGCTAAGAGCAGGGATCCCGGTGAGTTATGCCATCCAGGTGAGATAGAGCTGATAACAAATGGTGATGGGATCCTCAGTGGTCAGGTGGAAGAAACTATTAAAACTGGCCTATCAATCCAGGGCCACTCACTCAGTTGAGAAAGCCCCATCTTTGTCCTGGTCTTGGAAAGGCTGTAACAAGAGGTCTTTAGCCAGGTTCCCACTCCGTTCTTGCAACTTAGGGCAACATTGTACAAATTAGAAGGCAGCTCCTCTCTGGGTGTGTACAATCTCTCCCCCACACCCATACAGTGAGAGGGTGAGAGGCAGAGGACCCTTTGTGCAAAGAAGCCTCCTCAGCAGGTGTAGCCCTCTCTATGCACCCAGCTGCACGACCCACGTGCCAGCTGAGCTCAGCCCCACTCTCGCCCTCTGCTGGCCGCCTTTGTACCTTATACAAACTGCGCAACCCACAACCGTACATATCAGCCCTGCTGCTCATCAAAGAAGGCAGGCAACTCATTGGTTGGCTAATTAGCAGGCAAACATGGGTGACTGAAAAGATGCGCCTTTGCATTATGTCCCTGTCCCTCCTAAGGTGCTGCCACATAAGCGTGGGGTACCAGGCTCTGCTCCCCACAGCACACCCATTTCCTGGCCCTCCCACCAGCCCAGCTGTCAGGACTCCTCCTTCTAGTCCAGGGCAATGAGAGCTCATCTTGAGTGATTGGCACCGTCCTGCAACACAGCATCACCATGGCAGTCAAGTGTGACTGGGGGAGGATAGCATCCACGTGTTACAAATGAAGAACCTCGGCCGGCGCCACGGCTCACTAGGCTAATCCTCCGCCTAGCGGCGCCGGCACACCGGGTTCTAGTCCCGGTAGGGGCGCCGGATTCTGTCCCGGTTGCCCCTCTTCCAGGCCAGCCCTCTGCTGTGGCCAGGGAGTGCAGTGGAGGATGGCCCAGGTGCTTGGGCCCTGCACCCTATGGGAGACCAGGAAAAGCACCTGGCTCCTGGCTCCTGCCATCGGATCAGCGCGGTGCGCCAGCCGCAGCGCGCCAACCGCGGCGGCCATTGGAGGGTGAACCAACGGCAAAGGAAGACCTTTCTCTCTGTCTCTCTCTCTCACTGTCCACTCTGCCTGTCAAAAAAAAAAAAAAAAAAAAAATGAAGAACCTCGGAGGTGGGTCTCTGTAGAGAACAGAGTTTCTTTGTAATTCCATTTGTTTTAATGCTGACTCTGTTTCTCACCATCCCTTCAGGCCCTGACCAACTTCGCTGGATACTCCTCAGTCTAATGAGATTTTTTTTCCCTGCCCTTCATTGTCTCCTTTGATATCACATGTACCCCATTAAGGAAGAGATGCCGCTCTTTGTCTGTGCTCTTAATCTTTTTGGCTTACCCAAGCTACACAGATGCTGAAGCTGACATCTGTTCTCTTAATCTCAGGGAGTTTCTCATCTCTGCTTTATACAAGGTTGACCCAGTTCTCTCGGTCTACTCAAATATTAGTGAACAGCTCTGTGCATTCACATTGCCCTCCATTCTTGGGTCCAGTCCGTCACAGTCCTGCCCCACCTCCTCCCCAGACCTACCGCACACAGTATCCTGTGGAATGCTTGCACCTAGTTCTCCCATAGCATCTCCAGCAGAGGTCTCCTTCATCCCACTGCACGATCTTTTCTGAGCCACAGCTTCCCCTCCTGACTACAAAAAGTCCTGTGCCGGTCTCCCAGAGCTTTTAGAATCAAACTCAAATCTTTATCTGATGTATGAGGTGTTGCTGTGAATTCCCAATCTAGCCGCTTGACATGTGTCCAGTTTCATCTCCTTCCTCCCTCTGCTTCTGGGTGTGAATTGATCTGATACTTTTTCAATTGCCCAAATTCATCCAGGCCTTCCTCCTGCAAGGGCTAGTGGGTGCAGTGCTCCTTGGCTCTGTGTGCCTATCTGGCCACAGCAGATCCATCCCATTGTTCTACTTTAATCTGCCCTCAGAAGTATTATCCGCAGTCAAACCTTCCTTGACTGCCCTCTGTAAAGTTGCATCACTTCTTGCTTTTGGTTGAATTGTGTCCCCCACAAGGAGGTTAAGTGAAATGCAAACCCCCAGCTCTGATGACAAGATGGGGTATGGGCAGCCCAAGCAGTAGCTTGACCGCTATGCCAAATGCCCACCCCTACTGACGTCTTAAAGGCATCTCCTCCGGTGGTCGGGGGCATCTTGATCTCGCTGGCTCTGATTGCTCTCTGGGCCTGCTGGAGAGCCCTGCAGTGAATTAGATGAGGAAAAGATCAGTCCACTGAAATCCCAGAAGGGAGAGCGGAAGGCTGAGTGCAGGCAGTGACAGGAACACAGGAGAAATCAGGGGGAATTCATACTGAAGGGGACAGATCGCCAAGGCCTGTGGAACACAGTCCCTGAGTCCTGGCTTTCTGCACGATCATGCCCCACTACAATGGAAAACAATGTAAGAAACATAAGAGAGCTATATGCCTACTGCCTCCTGCATTATTTTTTAACATTAAGGAAGTTTTCAAAACCCTAATGAAGCAGCCACGGACATGGTGATGCAGCAGGTTAAGCTGCTACTTGGGAAGCCAGCATTCCACATCGGAGTCCCAGTTCCAGTCCTGGCGATACCACCTCTCATTCAACTCCCTGCAGCAGATAACAGCTCAAGTACTTGAGCTCCTGCCACCTCTGTGGGAGACCCAGATAGTTCCCGGCTTCTGGCTTCAGCCTTGCCCAACCCCAGCTGTTATGGTCATTTAGGGAATGAACCAGTAGGTAGAAGATCTCTCTCCATCTGTGTTTTTCGATGTCACCTCTGTCTTTCAAATAAATAAATATGTATTTTTTCAAAAAAGTTAATTAAGCAGACATCGTCAATTAAATGTAGCATGAGCTTTAAAAATCATTATGATTGTGGTAAAACATGCATAATATAAAATGTATTATTTCAATCATCTTCAAGCATACAACTAAGGAGAATTAAGCACATTCACCCACCATGACTATCTGTCTCCAAGGATTTTGCATTGTTTCCAAATTGAAAGGCTGTACTCTGAACAATAACTCCCTAGGGTTTCCTATCCCAGGGGGCCACTCTTCTATTTTCCATCCCTATGAATGTGTGTTTTAAGAAACTCATGCAACTGGAATCATACAGTATGTTCTTCTATCCAGCTTATTTCACTTTGGGTCTATCCCAGGCTCATCCTTTTTGTAATAGCAGGCAACAGAATTTTATTACCTTAAAATCTGAGTAATACTCCATCACAGTAAGTGCTATATTTGTTTATCCAGTCACCTTTCAGTGGACATTTGAGTTGCTTCTATCTTTAGCTGTT